ATAGGTGGGTTGAGGATTATTCCAAAGAAAGGATGTCTATTTGGGTTTGACGTTATTTTACCAAGCAACGAAGGAGAAGATGATGAAGATGAATGCATAGGCTTTACTGTTATTGGATCAAGGTTCGAATTTAGATCTGTGGATCGTTCTGGTAAAAAGTTTAAAAACCACAATGTTGATGATATTTTATAATAAGATGTATATTAGATGTATAATATTACGTAAATTTTGACTTTAATTTATTTAATTGAAGAATTAATAATTCATCATGATGTACGTTTAAAGATTTTAAGATATCCTGAATATCATTTAAGATCGTGTTCTTTGATTCATGTTTAACGTTCTTAGGATCCTCATCTAGTAAGAGGTTTACTTCCTTGACCAATTGCTGTTTATTTATACTTTGAGGAAATTTGTCTATTTCTGACTTTTCAGCTATTCCTTTGATACTGGAGGCAGAATCGTTATCGTCATTATCAAAATCTTTTTGCAAATTTTTAACTACCGTTTCAAATTCGGTATTAAATTGTTGCACGTCCTCGTTTATGAACTTCGAAAGGTCTGTGAATATACTATCAAGATCATGATCATTTATTTCTTTGGTTTTAGTTTTAAGTTCGTTAGGGGGATTACTGAAAATTCCAAGCCCATCCAATGCATTTTCTTTGGCCACAGATTTAGGCTTTGATAAATCACCCAATATTTGGCTCAATTTAATCAATTCGTAGTAATTATCATATATAATAGATTTCTTAGCCAGATCGTGTGAATTTAGTTTATCTGTTATAGAGTTTCGTAATTTGAGTATTTCCTCGACTGGTGTGCTTTTCATAAACTTCGATAATTCTTCAGGATCATTAAAATTGATATTATGCGTTGTCCCTGAGGAAGATATCAGAGGCTTCGAAACCAGCTCTTCTATATTTGTATCTTGTGACTCTTGGTGATGAATATTATAAAAATCTTGCAATGCTTTCCTTCTTGACAGTACTTGCCGAGATGTTGTTGCTGACGAAATACGGGGTGATTCAACCTGACCTTTTGGTAAAGGGGACGACGGATGTGATGGAGTAGATGACTGTTGTCTGCTCGAGGCCGATGAAGGCTTTTTGTAGGATAACACAGGTGTATCTGACATTATTGACCCAATATATTCTTTTGTATGTAATTTCTTGTTTGATTTATATCGCGAATAGTACGTATATACGAATGGATTTGGTTCAATTATAAGAATCCTTTATTTAATAATAAGAGAATTATACTGAAAATGGAATAAATTAATCTGTATTATGAACCAAATTGATTATAAACTAAAATTACAAAGGTGAAAAAAATAATGCATTATTCATAAATCCAAGAGTCAAGGTAAACCAAATCAGGATCTTGCTCAGCGCTTGGTTCGATGACTGAAAAATGATCAAATATGGAGAATGATTGGTTTGTTACTAACAGCTTAACTGAAGGATCCACTAATTTGTCGAATGATTCGTCTGCATAAGCTCTACCGTATCCAGCCTCCAAGACACTTTGCCATGTAGCTTTAAATGTATCATTTGTATGCTTAATAAGCTCTAACTTGTCGTCGTAGATTAAGACATCACATAAGGATCTAACATCATTAATTGCCAAGTCAATATTAGTGATATTGTTGGAGGTAATAAATTCAATAATGGTATCCAAATTAACGAATCCAGTATGGTTTGCAGGGTAAGAAGATTGGTAAATGTTATTATTGGAAGACGGAGTTTGAAATGCAGTAGGGTAGGTTTTGGAAGCCACAAACCTCCAAATGACAGTCAATAATGAATCAATAAATTCTGTATCTAATTCTGAATCTGTAAACCATGGACCACCAGTGACTTCTATGGACGGTTGTAAGTTATACAACATGTAGATCTTCCTTGTTGGATGTTTAACGGACTTAATCGATTTGATATATCTCTGGTTCTCTAATGCTTTCAAGCATCTCACAACAATATGTTGATGCAAATTAGTTTTAGCTTTGATCGTTTTCGTCCAAATACCTTCACGACCAGATGCTTCGATGTACGAGTAGATCATAGCTTCGTCCTCCGACATAGACGTGATTTTGGATGCTTCACTCAATGAAATGGCCTGAAATTTCAATTCATCGCCTTGTTTTACCAACTTAACCAATTTTCTATTGATTAATTCCTGGGCAATCATTAATAGATCACCGGGAACTGAGATTTGGAGGAAGTCTTGTAGTTGTTCTTGATTCAATAACGTTGATGATGGAAATTCCAACATCTTGTTGTGCAACGTACGAGCCTTTTCTGATAAATCTGCCATTATGATCCTATTATTCAGTCACAAATTCTCTTTCAATATAATACAACAGATATTGGTGGTTTCAATAGCTCTGAGAGTGTTTGATAATGACCCCTTCTATTACTAATGTGACCTTCAGTACTCCAATTTTCATAGATCGATCAACTAACAATTTTTTTTTTTTCAGTTGTGCGTAAGTGAAGAGGTATACGATGTCACAAAATATTGAATACTAACCTGTTTCTCGGTTCAATATTAGACTCTATGATTAATAGAGGACATTCAGAATGAGTTCAAAGAAACTTGATCAAAATGTAATACTGTCTTTGGATGAATTGGAGGATAGCTTGGAAACACAAGCACCACAAACAATCCCATCGCAAGCTATATTTAAGAAGAAGGGTCTAAAGGGAAAAAAGCTGAACCAAAGAAAAGTATCGCTCGATTTTGATGTTAGTGACGAAGAAGTAGAGCTGAAGAGTTTTCCTGACATTAAGAGGACCAAATTTAAGTCACCACATTCGTTTGTGACTAAATGTCAACCTTTCAGCGTAGGTGCTGGCAAGACATCAATAGCAGAAACGAGAAACGAAGACGTAAAATATACACAGGAGCACATGAGAGAGCTCCAAGGGGAACAAATAGAACGAAACGAAGATTTAATGGATGTTGACGAACCGGTGGTTGTAGAAACCACTCCAGCTGAGATACTACAAGAGTTTCATAAAAATGCACCTATTGATAATGACAACGACGAAGACGAAAATATAATTCCAATTAACGAATACGGTAGTGACGATAATGATAATGACAATGACTTTGCTGCTCCCACAGCTAACAGCTTTCCTGCTGATGACGATTTAATGCCCGATAATGATGACGCATTTATTGATGATGGTCCGCTAAATTTGGCTCCGCCTAAGAAGTATCTAAAGCCTGAAATTGATGAGGACCTATATGATATGGAGTTACCAATAGGGGAAGAAGAATCCGAAATAGAGCTAGATGTATCGAAGCCTACTGTTTCCAGAATTATAGAACCAATAGGTATTACAGAACACCTTGAAACGCTAAAAAAGTCAATTGAAAACCTCAAGACTGAGAGACTTGAAACTGAATCACAATACGCTAATGTAAAGACTCAATTTGATAGTATAGGCCGAAATAAGGAAAGTCTCCTACAAGAATTGATTCAATAGGCAATTCATATAGGACTTGATTTTACGGTTGTATCAGTAAAATCTGAGTCTGATGATTCATCACCGCGCTTAGTGAAAAATTACTGGATTAGTGAGTCATTACAGATTTTCATATATATAGTAAAGATAGAATCTGTTGATAAGTACAATAATATACAATCATGATGCTGATGCCAATAAAAACCATGATCGGGAAAAGATCATTCTCAAGCTCCGCTCTTCTCAAATCAAAACCAAGGCATTTGGTAAACACCATACAACTTTCAAATGAAGAGTTGGCCTCATTAGTCGGTAAAGCTGAGGCATTCAAGAAGCAAGTTAGATCAGACAACTCTGCACCTATTGAGCAACATCAAAAGCTTTTAGGAAAGCTTGTTGCTTTACTCTTTTCCAAAAGATCTACGAGAACAAGAATTAGTACCGAAGGAGCTGCTGCATACTTTGGAGCACAACCAATGTTCTTGGGGAAAGATGACATCCAATTGGGGGTCAACGAATCTACATACGACACCACCAAAGTGATTTCTTCTATGACATCATGTATTTTTGCTAGAGTCAATAGTCATCAAGAAATACTTGATTTGTGTGAGCATTCTTCTGTTCCTATCATTAACTCGTTATGTGACATGTACCACCCATTGCAAGCCATTACCGACATTTTGACTATAAAAGAAGCATTTGGAAAGACTGAAGGGTTGAAGTTGGCCTGGATCGGAGATTCAAATAACGTCATCAACGATTTGGCCATTGCATCATTGAGATCAGGTATATCTGTGGCCATTTCAATTCCAAAGGACATCGAATTTGATCCCGAAGTACGCCAAGCTGCCGCCGAAATAGCCAGTGACAAGGGCTTATCGTTTGACATAGTCCACGAGCCATCGAAGGCAATTAATAATGCTAACGTTATTGTCACCGACACTTGGATCTCAATGGGCCAAGAGTCCGAGAAACAAGCCAAGTTGCTACAATTCGACGGTTATCAAATAACCCAGAAAATGATCTCTCAAGGTAATGCTTCTTCCGACTGGAAATTCATGCACTGTTTACCAAGACATGCAGAAGAAGTAGCAGATGATGTTTTCTACAGTGAAAACTCATTGGTATTCGAGGAAGCTGAAAACAGACTATACGCGGCAATGGCTGTTATAGAAGCCTTTGTTGTTAACAAGGGTGATCTACTTAAATAATCATTAAATAGATTTTGACTAAGAGTTGATACTTCATATTTTATTCTACTTGCGAGCCGTTCAAGTTTCTTAATAACAAACATTCTTACATATAATGATCTACCTACAAGGCTCTATTGTATCATGCCAACATCCTTGCAGCCAGGCTATATAACCAGTATCCTGATGTATCAAATACAATTGCCTTACAAGTGTACTGTCGCACTCAACTGCTAAATGCGGATTTTGCTCCACAGTTCAGATTACTATATAAATGATCGTATCCGCTAAAACAATAAATATTTTAATTTATTGCAAGAAGATAAAGTAAGATAAAGCTATGACATCGGTATTCGTTTCAGGCGCTACAGGATACATTGCGCAACATATTGTGAAGACATTGCTCGAAAATAATTACAAAGTGGTGGGATCTGTGAGATCTACTGAAAAGGGAGAAAAGTTGGCAAAGCTCTTAAGTTCGACTAATTTCAACTACGAGGTTGTGAATGATATTCAAAAAGAAGGAAGTTTTAATGAGGCGTTGAAAAAGCACCCAGAAGTGACGGTTTTCTTACACACGGCGTCCCCATTCCATTACAAATCGAAGGATGTGGAGAAAGAGATGATGATTCCAGCAGTCAATGGGACCAAAAATGCGTTGAAAGCTATTAAAGATTACGCACCGCAGGTCAGGAGAGTTGTCGTGACATCATCGATTGCGGCTATTAAGGTTGAAGCTAAGGAAAACGACAGTACGTTTGTAACAACGGAGGAGACATGGAACCCAATTTCGTGGGAAGAGGCACTCACAAATCCTATTTTAGGGTACCGTGGGTCTAAAACGTATGCCGAAAAAGCGGCATGGGAGTTTGTTGAAATGGAAAAACCTCTGTTTATATTGTCAACCGTCAATCCGGTGATCGTGTTTGGCCCACAGGCATTTGACAGTGAAGTCAAAGAGACATTGAACACTTCGGCAGAAATTATCAACAATTTATTGAAGTTGAAGCCAGACGATCCAGTTCCTCCTTTGAATAATGCGTTTATCGATGTTCGGGATGTTGCGAAGGCACACGTGGTGGCATTTGAGAGTAACAACGCTGCCAACCAGAGATTGTTGCTTAGCGAGTCAAGGTTCTCGTCGCAATTAGTCTTAGATCTTGTTCACAAGAATTTCCCCCAGTTCAAATCACGTATTGCCGTTGGAACCCCAGGTATCTATCCGGACACTTCGGGACTCTGTAAGACTGACAACTCCAAAACTAGGGCCATCGTGGGCTTTCCATTCATTCCCCTAGAGAAGTCTGTTGTTGATACAGTTCAGCAGATCGTGAAAGCCGAGGAAAATCAATAGACCACGAACGTATCTCTATTTCCAGGCCGTTTCGTGCTACAAGCAAAATCCTTATAACTAAGCTAATTGCTCTCTTAAATTCATATTCCGTTCATATGCACTCGATTGACCGTTGAACCCACATAAACCATGTACCTGAAATGTGCCTGTTTATTGTCTGTCTTAGACTCGTGCGCTTTACCCAGCCACTGCAAAACATATAGGAGGCTAACCCTTCCTCTCCCAAAAATTTTCCTTGAATTTTACAATCTTTTTATCTTCAAATTGGCATTCTAATTCATCAATATATGTCAATATATGTCTTGTTGAACTAAAATCTGTATAAACAATATGCTGTATAGTCAATATAGCATCGAAAGATGACTTGCTAGAGAAGACTTTCTTTTTTTTCGTGCATATAATCACTCGCATATGTACAATTGCATGGCCATCAGAAAATGGTTAGCGAGCCTTATTAGGTAATTTGCTGTTGAAAAGCTAGATTACAATAGGAGAATAAGCCTTGGAAGTTAATATTACGTCTGGCCACAGAATTCCAGACTGATGGAAGTCTATTTATGTGTAGGTTGCGATTATTTTCCGTATTTGGTGAGCTCTGATTCAAAAAAGCCATGATAAAAAAGTTATAGCCACTATTATAGAATAATATGCTATGGAATTCCAGATATATTGAGCAACATGGAAATTAAATACCAATATTATGCCCTTATTTGCATTAGTTTTTTGGCTAATAAATTTGTAAATTATTGCACTGAACTCGAAGAACGATTAAATATTAGTGATAATGAAAGTCACTATGGGATTGAACGTTGGCCGCAGAAGAGTTTTATTATACTCCGTGCTCTTTTTGACTCTTTTAGGATTAATATGGACGGTACGGGATGCCGGATTGGATGGTAATAAGGTTGTTGATCGGGTACAAGGGGTCTATAGGTCCAGGCTACCTATATCTAACTTTGCTACTAACGAGACATTGGTCATATTCCCCCGTGGGTTCGAATTGAGAGCATCGAGAGATTTGACTAACTATTACAGAAAACATTTCAATCCTGATAAAAACAGGGAGTTTAATTCTGTCACATTTAATGGACCCCCTTCGCCGTTGACAGAGGCTGTAAAGCATATCGACTACCATAACCATGAAATCTCTATGTATGACACAACGAAGGATATTTCAAGTGACTTAAATAAGTGCGAGCCTGATATTAATGCCAAATTCAAAGTTGATATAGGCAGAGCTAGAAAGCATGATGATTCTCTCACTAAGGTTGTAAAGAGGTTAGCCTACCAATTGGAAAACGACGATGCTATGAGAGAACTCGGGAGTTTTTTCAAAGGTGACTTGACAAAACAAATAGAGGAAGAAACGGTAGATCAACACTGGTATAAGTTTGCGGGTACATCAGTATGGTTGCAACAATACGGTGTACATTTTATGATTTCCAGAATGTTGTACAGTCCTACGGGGAAAAAGAATGATCCTGTTATGAGTTTGATATTTGCTCAGATATACAATGAAAGGTGGGAAGAATTAGATGATGTCGAGTTAATTATACCTACTGTAAACCCAATTACCAACGAAAAAATCTATGCGAGCTTACAATTCCCTAGCTTCTTGCCTATTCCATTTTATCATCAATCTTCATATGTAAATAAAAGATGGTACGGACCTGAAGATGCTCGTATCTTACTCGTTAAAAATGACGATGGCTTAGAAGAACCATTGATAGTATTTAATGCTTACCATCGTAAAGTAAACAAACAAGAAAATATCAATGAAGCAGCTTCAAAAGTATCACATGAATTCTACAGGTCTATGTTTATGGGATGGCCATTCAGATTTCAACACGGCAAAGAAAATGTTGATGGTATTTCGAATGCTGCCACCGACGACAAAATATATAACAAAGTCATCGAATTGAGGAGAGAAGGTGCTGAAAGATTGAAAGTCCAAAAAAATTGGACGCCTTTTATTAGTGTGAAGGATCGTGTTGACGAAGGTCCTGATGACAGCATTTATTTTGTTTATAGATGGCAGAACTTGGAAATCTTGAAATGCCAGTTGACTGATTTTACCCACGACTATGCCAAATGCAAATTCGAATACAAGCGGAACGAGAAGCTACTGCCGGACGAACCTGTCGGTGCTTTGAGAGGTGGTACCGAAATGATTAGTTTAAATAAAATATTACCGTCCATTAATGCAAATCTTCATCCAAACAAGGAAGTGTGGATTGGTTTCGCAAGGGCCCATCTTGTGCGCTGCGGTTGTGGTAAGGATATGTATCGCCCTAATTTAGCAGTCATTACTAGAGAAGATAATAAATTCAAGATTTCCCAGTTGAGTTCGTTTTTTTCATTAGATATAGATGTTAATGGATGGTCCAACCCTGATGTGCTATGCCATCCCAAGGAACCAAATGCATTAATTCCAAACGGTATCTCTAATTGGGATGTTTCTACTATCAAGTTAGGTAAAAAGTACGTTACTGAGGACTTCCTTACATTGTCACTATCGGTCGCGGATGCTACTGTGCATACTATTCAAATCAAAAATTTGTTGCAGAATGTTCTCTCTGATACTTCTGCCCTTTCTCACAACCAAACGTTAGGCTACACTAATGATGTTGTTGAATGTTCTCTTAAAACTTCCAACCAATTCTGCAATACATATGGCCAAGAACAACTCAAACTTGGGAAAGTTCCAGTTTAGAATAGCTAAATTTATAGAATAAATGTATGAAAATTATTCATAGAGACATTTTTATTTTGCATTCAAATTTTTATTTTTTTTGTTTAGCGATGGTTGAAAATTTTGTTTTTGGAATTTACTCCAAAGCACAGAACTTGATACCATAATTATAATATGGGCTCACTATACTCTCATAGTGATAGTTTGAATCCAATATCATCTGTCAATGAAGACTTATTCCAAGTTTTACAACATTATGGGCCAGTAACGGCATTAAAAATTCACACTAACTATATAATATGTGGTTACGGGTCAATCTTAAAAATATTCAAAATTGAAAAGAATTCCAACCACCAATTGGTTTTCAGCCGCCAAATATTAAATAGAAATAAGATTCATAATATATCTGTAAGTCCTTGTGGTACCAGAATAATTTTGTCCGGTGGTAGATCATTTATTGTGTTGAATATCAACGACCTCTTGAATACAAAACATGCATCATCAAAAGAAAAGGCAATTAATGAATGGATTACAAGTACCGAATTTTTGGATAAGAACACCGTATTGATATTAACATCCCATAATATTGTTTACAAAGTAAACGTATCAGGCATGGAGTCAAATAAAAATTTTGAAATTGTCGATAGGATCCATTGTAACGAAAAATCTATTTTATATACTGGTTCTATACGTATTATTGATCGAAAAGCCTTAATAGCTGCCGGTACTGTAATGGGGGGTGTAATTATTTGGGATTTAGACTCTCGTCAAATACTCCATAATTTGACTGATCACGAAGGCTCCATATTCGGAGTCAGAATTGATTCAGAAGGAAAATATATCATTTCATGCTCTGATGATAGATCAATTAAATTATATGACTTTACAACTGGCCAGCTCTTAGCTACTGGTTGGGGTCATGGGTCTAGAATATGGAATCTTGAGTTTTTCAAATGTCAAGATCTGTTAAAGATATTTAGTACTGGTGAGGATTGTACAGCTAGAATATGGGAATTTGAATCAGAAAATCCACTCTTAAAACTACTTGAAATTTCCGATTGTCATTTAGGAAAACATGTTTGGTCTGGTGATTTAGATGACGATATTTTACAATTAAGTGTCACTGGAGGTGCTGATGGTAGAATAAGGCTCCATGATTTAACACTCTTGGCAAATTCTAATAAAACAAGCTATACTTTAGAAACCATAGAAAAAGAGGTAGGTGTTACGTTTGACAAAAATGAAATCATTAAGCAATATTTTGAATTGCCCGAATTGAATTTATTAATTGTATTGACATCCAATGGAAAGATTTTAAGTTTAGATCAAAAGAATAAGAATTGGGAACTCATTCAGCTATCTAATGAAGAGGTCAATAAGTTTAAGAATTTTGGATTGGTCAGAGGATTCATTGATATTAATGTTATAATAGTATGCTCGAGATCTGGTGATTTGTTAGTGCTAAAGTTTGATGGTGATTCTCAAAAGCCAGTGTCAAAAATTTGGTTCCTTGACGAGCATCTAAATGGTAACAAAGTGACGAATTTCATGACTTCATATGACAAGGAAGGCAATAACTTCTATGTCCTAATTGATTGTCCAAACCCTAAAATTCCTTTCATCCTTCGGAAATTCAAATTCGATAATCATACTCTCATTTGTGATGGCATTATTCTTTTAGAACAACCTGATCAAACTAGTTTTACAACAACCTGTATGGTACTTGATACTGTAAATAAAATCTTGATTTTAGGATCACGATATGTTAGCTTCGCTCTTTACGACTTAAGTACAGGTAACGATTTGATACAATTAAGTGGTATTTTCAAGAAGCTATCCAAAGGTGATACAATTACTGCTATTTCAATTGTTCATTCACAAACTAATTGTATTCGTATTTTGATAACTGTCAGAGATGGAATATATATGTATGTGGAGTTGAGTAAAAAATATGGCAACTTCACTCATCAAGTCATTCACAAGAATAAACTCTCTAAGGGCTTTGTTGAAGGAGGGTTCCTTCATAACAATGAACTAATAGTGTACGGGTTCAAGTCTTCCTACTTCTATGTTTGGAATGAAACAAAACAATTAGAAGTTGCTAGCGAATTATGTGGTGGTGCCCATAGACAGTGGGAATTATTCAAGTATAAGGATTCAATGTCAGAAATGAAGTTTGTATATATAAGTAAATCAACTTTACACATAAAAAGTTTCAAACAAAGATTCACGGATGGAAGCTATGGTCTAATTAATGATGGAACTCATGGAAGAGAAATTAGAGGCATTGCAGTATCTCCTTCCATATCCTCGGATGATGGTTCTCGCTTGATAATGACCGCTTCTGAAGATACAACTATTAGATTAGGAAAATTATTTGCTAATGGGGAAATTAAAAATTACTGGAGTTTGAACGAACATATATCGGGGTTGCAAAGAATAAATTTTTTGAATGATACGTACGTCGGTAGTTCAGCTGCAAATGAAGAGTTCTTTATTTGGAAACTAAACAAATTGGATACTGGAATTCCAACTATAACAAAGAACGCAACTTTAAGGCCCAGTCAAGCTAATCCAGATTTACGTATTATGGACTTTGATTCCTTTCCATTTGCTAATGGTTTTGTTATTAGTACAGTTTATTCCGATTCTAATTTGAAAATTTGGTATTTTGATTGTGTATCCGGAAAGTTCCATTTAGTTGCTAATGACTTCTATACCACCTGCTGCATCCTTAATGTAAATTTCCTTAAATTTAATGATGGTTCTAAGATTCACATTATGATAGGCACTACTGATGGCTGTTTGTCTATCTGGGATATTTCTAAGATCATTAATAATATAGACATCGAATCCCTTGAAGTACAAAAATTGGGCACCATGATTATCAAGCAACAATTACATCAAAACGGTATTAAGGCAGTCCTTTGCTTGCCTGACATGCCAAAAGCGTATAGAATATTTACAGGTGGTGATGATAATTCGTTAATCTCGTCAACATTGTGCTTTGAAGAAGAAGGTGAAGAATTAATTTTAAAAACTAATTGTTTCGTAGAAAAGGCTGCATCTTCGACCATTACTTCTCTTTCATTTGGTGGAAGTAATCATATTGTTGTTACTTCCGTTGATCAGATTGTTCGTCTTTGGAAGTTCGACGACACATCATTAACTTGTTCATCTGCAAGATACACTACGATAGCAGACACGGGTTGTAGTGATACAACCAAGTTTGACGAAAAAGATATCATTGTCGTTGGAGGGGCTGGTTTAAGTTCTTGGAGTTTTTAATATTTACATAAATAGGCTTCAAAATTAATATTCGCAAACTAGATATAAAGTAATATAATAAGCAAAAGAGTAGACTAAAAGAAAAAAAATCTAATATCTATTTTCTACTTAGATTCTTAATAATCTCAAATTGAAAGTAGTATCATTAATTGTTTGTTCTTCGTCGATGATAACCTTAGATTCATCGCTAGTAAATGGTTCCAATGGTCTTTTAGTTGATTTGACTAATATATCTTCATGGTCTTTAATAACATTTTCAAAATTGATAGTATCCTTGATTAAATTGTATTCAACCTTGATATCATCAGTAGTGTTCAAGCCAGCCTTTTTACGTAATCTTTGAACACGGTTAATTAATTCCCTAGCTAAACCTTCACTTTGCAATTCTGGATACATGTTAACATCCAAAATAATCAAAACATCTTGTTGGGATCTAGATTCTTGACCATGGGAAGCCTTTTCTATTGGCAAACCACGTTGGACTTGTAAATCCTCAGTTACTAAATCAATTCCATCAACAATAATTTTACCCGATTCAGCAAACTTTTGGACTTCTGCAGAAGAAACGTTTGGTAAAGCTGCTTTCACTCTCTTGGCGTCTTTCTTCAATTTTTTACCTAAGACAGGCCAGTCTGCGACAACGGTATATTCAACACCATATTTAGCCTCGTCTGAAGTAATAACTAAGTTTCTTACATTTAACTCATCAGTAATGTATCCCTTCAATGATTCAACATCTCTAAGATAGCCTGGGTCAGAATGCAATATAACTAATTCCTTCAAAGGTGTCTTTAAGGAAATAGTTTTCTTTTCTCTTATGTTACGACCTAAATCAATAACTTTTTGCATTCTTGAAACAGCAACTTCAATATCAGTATCAAATAATTCTTCCTTTACCGAAGGATAGGATAAGAAATGAATAGATCTTGTATCCTTCATATTTGGATTGACACAATATTTCTCTAATTCTTCATCAGTGAAATATGGCTTTAATCTTTGGTAGATACCATCAGATAAGTAAGGTGTGAATGGTGCCATAGCTCTAGACAACGTTAATAAAGCTTCGGTTAATGTGTTAAGACCAACTCTGGTATCATCGACACCTTCGTCTGAATAACCCTTAAGACGACGACGGTTGAAACGAATATACCAGTTGGTCAATTCATCAATAAGAGATAATAATCTTGGGACAACAGTGTATAATCTGTATTCAGACATTTCAGCATGAATAAATTTAATCAATGATTGAATAGAAGCTAACAACCATCTATCCATAACATTAGTTGTTTTTAATGTAGAATCATAAACAAAATTCACATTGTTTTCCTTCTTAAAAAGGTCAGCGGCATCTTTAAAGAACTTGTAAGAGTTGTACCAAGGTAACAAAACGCTAGAAACAACTTCTCTGACACCTTCTTCTTTAAATTTCAAAGTTTCTGCTCTTAATACAGGAGAGTTGATTAAGTATAATCTTAATGCATCAGCACCATATTTCTCTAAAACAATAGAAGGATCAGGGTAGTTTTTTAAACGCTTGGACATTTTCTTACCATCTGCTGCTAAAACAATACCAGATACGATAACGTTTTGATATGGCGCAGTATTAAATAAGTATGTACCTAAGACTGTTAATGTGTAGAACCAACCTCTTGTTTGATCCAAACCTTCTGAAATAAAGTTTGCTGGGAAGGCCTTTAAGAACTTTTCCTTATTTTCAAATGGATAGTGGTTAGAGGAATAAGGCATAGACCCGGATTCGAACCAGCAATCGAACACTTCTTCGATTCTCTTTAATTGACCCTTGCCTTGTTTTGAAGGAATTGTGATAGAATCAATGCTCTCACGATGGATGTCAGTTATGTCATCGCGTCCAGACAATTCCTTCAATTCATCAATCGAGCCAACACAGACGATTTCTTCGAAGTCATCACTCACCCACAATGGAATTGGAGTACCCCAGTAACGGTTTCTTGAAATATTCCAATCTCTAGCATTGGCGATCCAGTTAGAAAATCTCTTTTCTTTAATTGTGGATGGAACCCATCTGGTTCTCTCAACATTCTTTAACATATCAGGAACAATATTAGTGATACGAACGAACCATGCTGGAACAGTTCTATATAATAATGGTGTATCAGATCTCCAGCAGAATGGGTACGAGTGCTTCAATTGGGTAGAAACTAAAAGTCTACCATCTTGTGTCAACTTCTTGATGATTAACTTATCAGCATCTTTAACATATATACCTGCAAAATCACTAACTTCATTAGTGAATTTACCATTGTCATCAACTGGGTTTGGAGGTTGCTTCTTTTCGTCGATAATTCCTGCCTTTGTAGCGGCGTTGAAATCCTCTTCACCAAAAGCTGGTGATTGATGAACAATACCGGTACCTGATTCAGCAGTAACATAGTCAGCACAGATAACTTTGAACCCACGATCTTTAAACGATTCGTAGAAATACGGGAACAATGGAGTATACTTGGTACCAGCTAAATCTTTACCCTTGATTTTTTCAATAACCTTATACTTAGCAGCAGCAGGTTTCTTATATAATGTAGACAATAAAGATTCTAATAAAATGAAATTCTTTTGCTTTTCTTCGTCGAATATTTTGATATATTCAAACTCCGGATGAACAGCTAAAGCAATATTCGAAGGCAAGGTCCATGGCGTAGTAGTCCATGCAACTAACCAAGTATTTTCATCGTCCACCAATGGAAAACCAATAGTAACAGCTGGATCGTTGACTTCCTTATAGTTTTGTTGTGCCTCGAAATTGGACAATGGAGTGGTTAACCCGGTCGAGTACGGCATGACCCTCAACCCCTTGTACACAGCATCCTTCTTGAACAACTCCTTGAAGGCCCACCAGACAGATTCCATAAATTCTGGGTACAAAGTCTTGTAATCATTATCCATATCAATCCACCTACCCAATCTGGTGATAGTCTTACGCCATTCATCGGCATATCTCATAACAATTGCACGACACTCGTTGTTATACTTGTCGATACCCATATTCATAACGTCTTCCTTACCAGTAATACCCAATTTCTTGTCGATTTCGTGTTCCACTGGTAACCCATGTGTATCCCAACCGAATCTTCTCACAACATGGTGTCCGTTCATAGTAGCATAACGTGGAATGATATCCTTAACAGTAGATGCTAAGATATGTCCATAATGAGGCGTACCTGTAGCGAATGGTGGTCCATCAAAGAATGCAAATGGAGGAAGATCTTTAGTAATCTCTAATGATCTTTGAAATGCATCTGATTCCTCCCATTGCTTAATAACATTCTCTTCCTCTCTAGGAAAGTTAAAAAACTGATTACTAGCTTCTTGTTCACTCATCACTCCAGCTCAATAACAATTTAAGAAGGTTTTTCTTTAGCTATAGTTCTTTATATTTGTATAAGATGGTATACTAAGTGACTAACTTTGCACTTTTTACGTTGAAAAAAAAATTCGGCCTGATTATATAAGCACACAAAAGCTATAAGCATAATAATAGTAACTACTACTAGAGATAATAAACTTGCAGCAAGTGGTGAGTCAATGATATCCAACAGATTGTTTGGAGAAGTACTACGGAAGTGTTTTAAGAATGGAACGTTTCCAGAAAGAATAGTGGTTGCTCTATCAGGTGGGGTTGACTCATTGTGTCTCACATATTTATTGGGACAATTCAAGAGAACATACAAACCTAGCTTGCAAATTACAGCCATCACAATTGACCACAAGTACCGGGCAGGCTCGGGTCAAGAGGCAGAAAAGGTGGGGGTAATGGTGCGTCCATGGGGAGTGGAGCACGTAGTTAAGACATTGGAGTATGAGGACCGAGATATTGAAAAGATAACGAACTTCGAAGAGGTTGCACGGGAGAAGAGATACGATATATTTGAGCAAGTATGCCGAGAATTGGGTGTAAAGAGTTTGTTTGTAGCTCATAACTTGAACGATCAAATAGAGACGTTTTTACAGAGATTGCAGCAGAATTCGTCGATATTTGGTTTGGTAGGATTACGCACAGTCGACCATCTTCCAATAAGTCCATTGCTCCCATCTGAAAATGGTGATTCAATACATGTAATACGGCCACTACTATCATTCGATAAGTCAGAGATTATTGAGACATGCACAAGAAATGGTATTCGGTGGTTTGAGGACCACACCAATAGAGACATCCATCTCACAAGACGAAATCTTTTGCGGCATATTGTTTCCGAAGTTGTACCCCATAAACTAGGCAATCAAGACATTCTGATCGAAGAGCGTAACGCGTTGCTGCTTGTAAGCAAAGAGTCGTTGGTGAAAACACGTAACGAAGTACTTTCGTTGGTTTGCGAGATGCAACATCTGATTGCAAATATAGAGGAATACTTGAAACAACGGGGCCTCTTCAATCTTGAAAAAAAGAATCTTCTGTTGGCGGTATCCCTTCCGTTCGATATTTTGAATACATACAACCCTATGGTGCTAAGCCGATTTTTTTATCAGAATATGTATCTAATTTCGTCAGTAAAGCATTACCATTGGTCATATGCGAAATTAGAAAGGCATGCGGTACCAAGGATTCTAAGATTTTACAATACGAATAAGGAAATGAGTACACCAGTGTCGATGAAATTAACTTACCTTAATGTTTTGTTCAACATCAAGCTAGACACTCACAACAAGCAGTTGCGAATATTGCTCACCAGACAGCCATTAATACATGATGAATATTCACAAGTCTGCCTCAATTACACGCTTAATAGCCAATGGTCCGACTGGCGCATGTTCGATAGACGCTATTGGATCAGGTTGAAGCTGCGTAACTCGGATATGAGGGTGTCTATAGTGCCCTACAGACACAATGACATCGCATTCAGAAAGCAACTCAATTTAGCATTCAAAAGTTCAAACAATGGTCCATTACTATCCAGTTTACAAGAGGGAACTCCGGTAATAGTTACGTACCGTAATTGTGGACTTTTCGCCGCCGTGCCTACCTACAATATCTACTCCCAGGAGGATGTAATAGACGTAGAATGGCTTCCGAAGAATAACTTGTATAGTTTATAGAATTTTTATATACAGGATTAAACACCAAATTTTGAGCTTTCATAAACAAGTAGACAAGCACTGAATAACTAGACCAGCACCAAGGCACCATTAAATAATCTAATAGTGAAGGTTTATTAGTAATTAAATCTTGAATTATTTGAAAGTCTGAGGCCACTAAAGTATGAAGATGCCAACCACTTCTCATACAGATATGATTCATACCTTAGGAACGCCCAGGCTCAGTGGACAAGCCATTACACCGAAGACATATAGAGCGTCTAAGTCTTCTAGACATGTCAATCACCTGAGTCAGTCAATCAGGATAGCCCATCAAAGAGTTAATATCGATGTGGACTTAACGCAAAATAAGTTGGAAGGATTTACAGAGCTTACGGTGATACCTACGATGGGCAGTTTGAAATCTATTAAATTAGATTGCAGGGAAATGAAAATTAAAAATGTTCATATTAACAATACTAGAAATACCAATTATATACACAAGGATGTGCTTTACATTAATGATGATAAATATTTTGAGGAATCGCTCGATAATAAATCGGTGAATCTATTTGATATGTACTCTGATGATTTGACTATACACCAACATCATTTGATAAGGCAGAAACTTAATTACGTATTTGGAGAGATTAACAATGATCCTAGGGAACTTCCTAGGGAAGTACACAACGGAAATACAGAGGAATTGTTGATTTTCCTTCCAGATAATTTGAAATTGGAATTGGCTGATGCCAACGCATTTACCACGCCGGAAAGTCAAGCGGTGACTCCTCGTTATCTTAAATCCAAGAATGCGATGAGTGAATCCCAGTATTCGTTTACTGTAAAAATTGAGTTTGAGTGTATTAACCCAAAGAATGGTTTGAACTTCATAACTGATAAGAAATCAGATAGGAAATATTGGCATGCGTATACTGTAAACTCAGACTATAATATTTCCACTTCGTCTTGGGTTCCATGCATTGATAATTTATGGGATAGGTGTACCTGGTCTCTTGAGATCAATATTCCAAGGACGATTAAAGATATAGGAAATCCCAGGATAATAGGTTCTGAAAATACAAACACGCTGGAAAAGGAACACGAAACAGAACGAATGCAAAAAGATATACGAAATGGAGCTCATGATGACGTGGAAAACAATGCTGATGATGTCGAACATGACGAAAACAATGTGGATGATGATGAAGACGATACCGAAAACTATGATTTAGTCGTTTGCACTGGTGACTTCAATAATGTCAAAGAAACTCCACATCCTATAGATAGTTCAAAAAAAGTTGTATCATGGTCAATTTTCAATCCTGTTTGTGCCCACCATGTCGGTTGGGCGTTAGGGTCGTTCCAAAGCATGATTTTATCCACGCCTTCCCAAGAAGGCGATGAAGAGATTAAAGATCATGTAGAATTTGAAGATATTGAAAAAGTAACTGATAACTCACCTGTCACTATATATTTCCTAGTGGGTCAGGAAGATATGGCGAGGAATACATGTATTTTAGCTAACAAAGCCATAGACTTTTTTCTGAAGGAATTTGGTTCATTTCCGTTTAGCTCTTATGCAATGGTATTTGTTCAAAATAATGCTTCAGAGTCAAATAATTTTGCTGGAATATCAGTTATAAGTGATTCACTCTTGTACCCATCAGATTTAATTGAACCTATGATCTCAACCACAGATACAATACTAGAAGGCATGGCAACTCAATGGTCGGGTATTAATATTGTTCCGCTATCCTTCAATGATTATTGGTGTACAATTGGTATCGCCAAGTATATGGCGCTCCAATTTATTAAAATTTTGATGGGTAAAAATGAATACAGATTTAAAATAAAGAAGAAGATGAATGAAATCGTTGAAAAGGATATTGGCAAAAAGCCATTAGCATTGCAATTTTTCAGGTTCCCTATTTCAGACCTTGACCTAGACTTTCTAAGGCTAAAGGCGCCTATAGTTCTTTACATCCTTGATAAAAGAATGACTAAAACAGATAAATCATTCGGGCTTTCTAGGGTTCTACCGAAGCTCTTCTTGCAGGCGATGTCTGGAGATTTACAAAATGGGGCATTATCGACTCAGCATTTTCAATATGTCTGTGAAAAAGTGAATCGGAATAAGTTAGATACCTTTTTCAAACAGTGGGTTTTCGGATCTGGTGTACCCATATTCAATATATCTCAAAAGTTTAATAAAAAACGTTCCATGATAGAAATGAGTATAAGGCAAGTACAACAACTGGATACGAAAAAATTACACCCAAACCCTGAATCATTTATTAATGACTCTATATCACACTTGGATGACGAGCCTTCATTCCTGATTCAACCAGTATTTACTGGTCCCATGACCATTAGGATCCACGAAGCTGATGGTACACCTTATGAACATATTGTTGACTTGAAAGATGGACACGTTAAACTCGATATCCAATATAACACAAAATTTAAACGATTAAAGAAGAATAGAGAAGATCTTAATGAACCTAATACAACATTCAGTAAATTGGGTGATATATTAACAACTCCAGAAGAAATGGATGATTGGGGCTTGAATGAATGGGTAAAGCATGAGGAAGACATGCTTTATAATGATGCTTTTGAGTGGATTAGAGTGGACGCAGATTATGAATGGATAGCTCAGATCAATGTTAAACAACCCGATTATATGTTTGGTTCCCAATTACAATACGATAGGGATGTCGAGGCTCAATATGAAGCGGTGAGGTACTTTGGTGATAGAGAGAAGCCTAACACCTTATATTGTACTGCATTAACTCGTACAGTTATGGATGATAGGTATTACTATGGACTCAGAATCGCAGCAGCCCAGGCTTTAGCAGATATATCTAAGCCTGATAATAATTTTATTGGTATCGGTTATCTTATAAAAATTTTCAAAGAGCTCTATTGCTTTCCTGGAAGCTCCATTCCGTTAAGCAATGATTTCAACAATTTCAACCGTTTCTTCTTACAGAAACAAATTCCTCAAATTTTAAGTAATGTTAGGGATGAAAATGGAGAAGTACCCTTTGTAATTAGAAACCTTTTATTGAATCTTGTTAAGTTCAATGAAAACTCTAATAATAATTTTCAGGATTGTTTCTACATGTCTGGCTTAATTACATCTTTAACTACTAGTGCATTAAATGCAAAGAGTGCTCTTACATCCCAAGATCCTTTAAATTTGGTGGATAAAAGTGACTCAATAAATTCTGAAAAGCAGAAGTTCTTACAGGATGTGATAACAGAAATAAATAGACTTCAAAAATTAGATGAATGGGTACCTTCTTATCAATCGATTATAGCAATCACTTGTATAAAACTGAAAATCAGGTTGGCCACACATGGTCTCTTACAGTTGTCATTTGAAGATTTGTTATATTACACTTTAGAGAAGTATCCATTTGACGTGAGAATTGAAGCATTCCGTGGATTACTTATTTTAGGGGGTTTAAAAAATGCGAGTGTCTTGCAGTACTACTTAAAGGTTTGCTTGCTTGGTGCAACTACACCATACTTCAGAGGAAAGTTAATTGACACATTGATTAATGCTATATGTATTGCCGCTATTGACGGTACTCCGTCTACTCTAGATGATCCAGAATTTAAAACTCTTGAAAAGCTATTTGATGAAAATTCTAGAATGGCAAACAATCAAACTAATATGGTTATTATCGAAGACGGATCGAATAATGAGTTAAACTCAAGAAGAGATACTTTTGCAAGAGCCACATTAAATGGTGCTATAGAATTGCTTAGACGTGATTACTCCATAGGCAGAGGGTTGAAGAATTTATTTTGGGAATTATTGCACACTTCATTATTGAGTATTTATGAGAGAAGAAACATTTTCAATGTTTGCCAAGTTCTATACAAAGAAATTGATACATTTATTGCAAGAGTGCCTGTTCCTAGTGTTCCGTTGAGTGAATTGAAGAAGAAGATTGTTCTTAGAAACATGGGTGATGGTAAGGTTGTTATTAAAAGAGAAGGTAGATTTAAAATCCAGTTGGCGTCACGTAGATTGACCATTCAGGAACCATCTAAGTCTAAAGTGACCCAAGAAAGAGCTAAGTCGAAACCTATGGATGCGCCAGAGGTTGTGGAACATCCACCGGAGACAAAATTGAAACTTAAACTAGGTAGTACATCCACAACCGTGGAGCCAAAGAAAGATACTCCCCGAGTTACCAAGAAAGCGTCCCTCGATCGTAAACTTGTTACTATCGATCCATATACCAAATCCAAGGTCACAATAAAATTTGAAAATCATACATTACCTAACTCGGCCGTATTTGACTTTCCTACCCAAAATGCACCTTCTACAATTGGTCACTCGGTGAATATACAGGGGTCTACAATAACAATGAAGTTCACGAAAGATAAGATCGCTAATTTAAAAGATATATTGAGTGGTAAGTCGATGAAACCTAGATATGTGAAGATTTTGACCAAAGACAAAAGAATATTTGTGTCACCAACACCATTCTCCCCTCCAGAAGCAAATATGGCCCCTGAGGACCAGCCTAATGGTAAGTTCGGAGTTGATAGCATGATGCCGTCTGGTAAGACGAAATCAACATCTTCAGGTCTGAGCAATGGCAAATTCAGTGGTACTGAATCCAAAAAAATCAAATCGAAGGGCAATAAATCAAAAGAGCAATCAATTGAGAGCCCATCTGAATCAGAAGAAAAGAAGCCAAAGTTGAAAATTCCGATAAAACGAGAATTAAAGCAACCCGAACGGTTACTGTCTGAGCCTATATCTAAACCAGTTGAACGTTCAGTTTCGCCATTTTCTAGGTCAGCAAGCCCATTCAGTCCTGCTCCGTCACTGCAGAGAACAAATAAGAAAACTAAGATTTACATTCATCCTAACGATGAAAAGAGTGCATCTAGTTCGGCCCAAGATGAGCCACAGGTTACTAAAATGAATGTGCTGGATTCAACTGAAAATCAAAACCCTGATGAATCTTCGGAGAATAAGCCCAAGAAAACAAATTCAAAACCTGGTTTCAAACTCAAGTTAAACTTGAAACGATAATAGCATATATATTGTATATTTAATGTAACTTTCTACAATTATTGAAAAATAATAGTCTTTTATAGTATGAGCTCACGTGCGGCCGATACAGTTGTTATCAACAAACCTAACTGGATTGCATCATAAATTGAATATAACTAGGTTATTCTATTATAATAACATAAATGAGTAGGAATAGATAATACCAATGTCCCATAATAATCACCTAACGTTTAATATCTCGAAGGCAACGCCAACAACGTCCACAACGAATGCTCATACAACATCGACTCCCCCAGCATCGAACGAGGGAGCCAGTTCAGGCGGAACAAATAGCACCAATTCCAAGTCTCCGTTCTTGCAGAACATATTGTCTAAATCAACACCATCTGCTGGAAATGTGTCTCCGCAGCTTGGTTCAGGAAGCACGGTCACGCCTACATTTGTAAATATAGGAGATGAAGGATCGCATGGTAATTCAATAAAAGATAACCAAGCTGGTAATAATAAACCTGATTTGATTGATTTATTTGGTAAATTCGATATTAGCAATAAGAAAGGGAATGAAGATGATGCTGATCGAGAAGACGAAGAACCAAAAATTGATATCAATCATGATGAAGAAGCCAAAGATGACAGTCATGATGAAAAATTGACAAATGAGAAGACAAATAAACAAGAAGATGAAATGACAGAGACATCAGTTGGTAAGCTGGTCGAAAAGGAGGAATTATCAACACCAATTGAATCCGAAGAAATTCAGACTTCCAAGTCCACATCAGAAATGATTGAGAAGCGTCCAACTACTAAACCAGCACAAGTAGATGGCAATGATACTAATAACGAGACCACCTCTGATACCAACATTGATACTAATACAGGTATTAGTCCTGATACTGATACTAATACTGACTCTAAGGCTAGCACTAATATTGACACTAGTACTGACACCAATGCTGGCACTACTGACAATAATACTGACAACAATACTGACAATAATACTGACACTAATACTGACACTAATTTTGGCACTACTAATACTAAAAATAATAATAAAACTAATGCTGAGCTTGATTCTGAGACTAATCCTGAGCTACAATTAGATGAAAAAGAAGACGAAGCACATAATGATCGTGACTTGACCGATATAACCGGTAACACTAACGAAGATGACTCCGTTGCTGAAGAGTATAGTTTACATGAACATGAGTCAACCCCAGTAGAATCTGAACAAGAAGAGGTTTCTGAATCGGAAGCTGTAACTAAGAATATACTTGAATCGCAACATATGTCGGGTAAATCTAAGAAGAATCAACCGTTGATAAGTTCTGAAGAGCAATATCAACAGTCGCATAAACCATTTGACTTCCAGCAGTTTTTGAATCATTTAAAGAAAAAAAGCGCAGACCCAATTGTGCGTTATATTCGTTCATTTTTAGTTTCATTTAGCAGACAAGGTCATACATTTACGTCTGATCAAAAAATTAAGATTATTAGAGATTTCAAACAATTTATGAACGAAAAGTTTTCTTTGTATGAACCATTTGCATCAATGGATGACATAGATTTAGAGAACTCGAGAGAGGGGTTAGAGAAATTGATAATGAATAGGTTATACGATCATTGTTTCGCGCCGGAAGTGGTGGCACAGGCACCAAACTTCATACCTGAATCAATTCAAGAAGATCTTCAAAATGATGAGAATTTCCTCAGGCAGCTCGAAAAATTCAATTGGATCAACGGAACTCATCTTGACATTGATTTAAACTACTTGACAAAACATAAATCAAAGACAAACAAAGATAATTTGAATTTCATTGATTTTGCTATTGCAGAATTAAACAAGATTAATAACTATAGAGCACCTAGAGATAAGATTATCTGCATCTTAAATTCATGTAAAATAATATTTAGTTTCTTAAGAGTGAGTAAACGAGAGACAAATGCTGATTCATTTATTCCATTATTAATTTTAGTTATTATCAAAGCGAAGACTGATAACTTGATCAGTAATATGCACTACATAGAACATTTTAGGAATGAGGAGTGGTTATCACATGGCGAGACCAGTTATTATTTATCTTCCTTGCAAGGAGCAATTGGCTTTATACAAAATTTATCTTTCGATGACCTTACTATCGATGAGGAAGAATACAGTGCTCATATGGAAGCTTGGGAAGCTGAAGAGAGGCAGAGAAATGCTAGGAAGCCCATAGTAATGCCAATTCCCAAGAGAAAGAATTCTGGATTGGAAGAATTTCAGAATTCTACACCCACGAAGGCAGGATTATCACCTTCTAATGTCTTAATGACAAGTGCAGAAATGTTTACCAAGTCGCTTTCAAATTTCTTGTCTCCCTCGCCGCACGAATCACCACGTCAAGATGATTCACACCCTACCACTGAAGTTCAAGGAGGTGTAGAACAACAATTTCAAACTCATCTGCACCCCCAGTCCCAGTCCCAGTCACAAGATCAGGCACAACCACACGAAAATACTGCTGCTATGAAGGAAACCTACAAAAGTATGAGGGAAGTATTTCCAAACCTTGATAAAGCAGTTTTGAAAGACGTAGTATTCATGAATCAAGGTAAGCTCGATGAATCACTCGACGCCTGTTTGCAATTAGTTAATGACGTTTAATGATATATATATATGAATAATTCTTTATAGATAAAATCCACAAGCATTAAATAGTCTACTTTCTTTCGCAGCTAAAAAAAAAGATGGACTCCTCATCAGGGGCTCGAACCCTGGACATTTCGGTCGACTCTTTGACAGAAATCTTTAATCCTTAAAAGCCGAACGCTCTACCAACTGAGCTAATAAGGACTGTCCTTGAAATTTCCGATTCTAAGAAACGGTATTTATGCAATATATTTTACATCATTTTTCCCTCCCTTCGAACATATTACGTTCTCAGTTTGAAGTACTACTTCATCCAGTTCAACCAGTTCATTCAGATTATTAAAGTGTTTCATGACCAATACTTTTCGATTGTACAAAGAATTAACTGAGTAAGCATCGTGCTGATGGTTGCAACTTACTTTTAAATATAATTATTACCTTTTTTCGTCTGAATATATAACATTGTCTTTGATATGAATGAATAGTTTGTAAGTCCCACGGTCTTACTCTGATTTAACATAAACATTTTTGGAATTGCCAGTTTTTCAAAAAATTGATAATTATATGTGAAATTTATAAAATATAGAATTTGAAAGATGACATCAACAAATTACTAAACGTTCCGAATTAAAAAACCCACTGCTGATCACCAGGGTACTAAAGTAACAATAACAATACTGACTGCCTATTTACTCTATTTTCATAATATTTGTCTGTAAACCTTACAATTTAAGTACGCAAATAGGTTGCGAAATTTTGTACTACTTTTTTACCTAATTGTATTCAACAATTGGCGTCTATAAACAATACCAACGATAATAATGGTGATGGTCTTAAATATCACTTCCATGATCCTGTTGTATACTTGGGTGACTTTTCTGTCCTCTGGACTTTAAAACATTAATCGGTATGGATTTTTAAGTACTCATACATTTCATACATTCGAGAAGACGAGAAAGATAGTTGAACTTCAAAGACAGAAAAACTTATATACAACATTGGAGCCTCAAAACATCTATATGATTGTAATAACGTCTTCATCACCTTCTGATACGTAGAACTGAAGTCTTATTAAACTAACACTTAGATATATTGAAACATTCTGCACATAGCGAATTGGCCGAAGATTCGAGAATATGATCATCAAGTGTATTTAATTGTAACAGATACGATTTACAAAGATCATTAAAAGAAAAAAAGAACACTAAAATGCCAATTGATTATTCAAAGTGGGACAAGATTGAATTGTCTGATGATTCAGATATAGAAGTACATCCAAATGTCGATAAGAACTCGTTCATTAAATGGAAACAAAGGGATATTCATGAGAAGCGTCAACAGAGAAATATTGAAATCAAATCCATATTAGTTCAATTAACCATGTATGCTAAACTTAATGAAAGAGTTGATTTCCTTTTAAGTGATGTAGGCGAAGAACAATTGTTAGATGATTCGTTGATTATGAAGAAATTGAATGACAAGTTTGATAAGACAGAAAAATTCGACTATGATCTTTTGAAGAAAGAGAAAGGTGATACGTTACGTAAGGGTCTTAAGGATTTGTCCTTTAGTGCTGAAGAGATCGAGAATACTCCACCATATAATGAAATGATTGAAGATTTATTTATTCAGGTTAAAGAGGATCACCCAGATGCGGCAAAGGATGCGGCAAAATTGACGCAGTACTTGAAAGAACATAGAGTTAAGATCGATGATGTATTGTCTAGACAAGCAATCAAGTTGGATGATCTTTTATATCAGAAATCAATGTTAATTAGTAGTGATGACATACACACGGGGTTCGACAAATCCTTCTTGAATAAAGAAAAGGAGGACGATCAACCGGCACCACCGGCGCCTGCTTCACAAAAGAAAACTGTTACAACTACCGAGACTATAAATAATGCTTCTAATGCGTCTCCGGCTTCGAAAGAACCCAAGTCAGACAAAGATGTGTTAGACGAACTAACATTAAATCCATCTACCGCTGAATTTGGTAAGATTTCAAGTACTAATATCGACGAGAGCGCCAATTACTTAATAAGACATACTCACATTTGTAATGAGCAACAAAAGGATGCTTTGATTATGACTGCATTTGATCATCAGTTACAAGGAAATTCTGATACTGCTCGTCAAATTATCCATCAGTCATTACTATTGCAATATGTCGCCCAATTGGCCGGTGTTAAGCCTAATAAAGATCTGATTATCAAGGCTGTTAAATTATTCTGCTCTAAAATTAATGATAAATCTTCACCAGCAAGAATGGGGTTTTCTCAGGATGTTATCAATACATTCAATCACATTAAATCAAGATGTGAAATAATTAAACAAGAGCAGGGCATGGAAAACAATGATAACGAAGAAGAAGCATTAATTCAATTAAAGGCACTTGATGATAAAACTGAGTTACTGGTTAATATTCCTCAAGAAGGATCACCGGAATTCCAAATTTTCTCGACGAAATTATCTAAAGAAATGCAAGATGCTGTGAAGACCGAATCCTTAGATGCCGTTAATCAAGTGTTTGCCAAATTAAAAGTTGAAGAAGCGGAGAATATTTTGGAGATATTTAACGAATGCGGAGTTATTGGCATAAATGGGTACATAGAAGATGAAAATGAATTCAAGGAATTGCAAAAACAATATAATGAAGGTATGGATTTAGAGGCTGAAAAATTAGAAGAGATCCATGAAGGGCCAAATACTGAGGATACCGTTGATTAAAAGGAATTTATATAGTTTTAATTAATTGTATTACTACATGCCAATACTTTGATACTTATAGATTTTGTAATTACGAATTAGAATATGCAAAGCTTCGTTTGAGAAAATGCGCTCAATAAATAAGAGGAAAACGACCAATGGGAGCTATTTTCTGCTTAATCTAGCTAACGTTTCCATTAGGGACTGTGTAGAATTAGCTGGTTGTGATTGCTGTTGTGGATTATACCCAGAAGACAGGGAAGACTGTAATTGTGACAACAAAGAATTGACTTGACCACTTGGGGCTTGAATATGACTTTGTGGCGGAGGTGGAGCTTGACCATAATTGAGTGGCTGATTATATCCATAAGGTGATTGGTTCATTGGTTGACCCATTGGCTGACCCATACCCATAGATTGGACAGGCTGTGGTGCTCTTTGTTGTTGCTGCTGCTGTTGTTGTTGCTGTTGCTGTTGCTGCTGCAATAATGCTATCATGCTTTGCATTGAAGCTGGATCCATACCTTGTAATGTTTGGATAAGGTTAGCCTGGCTGTTTGGATCAACATTAGCCGCAGGCAGCTGATTGAACGCAGGCTGTGGCGATCCATAATTAGGGGCCGGTGGTTGGCCATATGGAACATTTTGGTTATACATATTGCTATTATTTCCATGATGGCTTTCCCAATTGTTATTGTTTCTTCCACTCCTTCCTCTTCCACGTTCATTTCGGCCTGATCTTCCACGGTTGTCGTGATGATCATTTCTTCCACCACCTCTACGGTTGCCGCCATATCCATTATCGTAAAAATCATTGTTCATTGCAGCAACATAACTCTTGTTTTGATTTTGATTTTGATTCTGATTTTGGTTTTGATTTTGGTTTCCGTATGGCTGTGGGCTGGCAGTATTACCATATTTCTTAAACTTTGCTTTGCTTAAAATATCAGCTGCTACTTCAGGGTCAATATCAGCATATTCGTCAAACTTGATTCCTCCGTCCGCTGTGTTCTCAAATGTTTGAACATCAACTTTCGCTTCTTTGATAACACAGGTACCCAAAATTCCTGAGTAGGCCGCCTCACTTATAACATCGTTAATATCTCCATGTGTGATATCTTCGACATCTATCGTGACCTGACTACTAGAAAATGCCTTTTTAACTTTCCTAATAAAGAATACAGAAGACTTGCCTGTTATATAGACTTGACAATCGGGGACAATACTTTTTTGTTTCTTATTTTCCCCATAACCATAGCGATTACCAGGCATCTGTTCATCTCTACCTCTTTTGCCACTTGATTCATCAGGAGATCTATCCCGTCCTCTAGAAGCTAAGTTAGGGTTATTGATTTCTGGTTTTCCAGGACGTCTTGATTTTTGAGGTCGGGAAGCATCTAATCTCATTATCTTGTTATGTAAGGGTACGTTGGACTCCCCTTTAATACAATCTAAACATGACTCCGCAGTCCTGAATTGGGTAAAGCCATAGCCTGCCTTTATTGCAATTTGAATGATATCACCATATTGACTAAAAATTCGAAATAAGTCTTGCTTTGAAATTGTATTTGCTGGAAGGTTACCAATGAATAATCTCAGTTTATCGGGGAACTCATCCCAGTTCTGCAAATTCATATAATATGCCTCCCTTTTGATAAAATCATCGTACGCTTTCTCCTCTTCCGGAGTCATTGGCGCAGTAATGTTTGGTCTGCGACAAAATTCGTTGACCGGTACTAGAGGAATTGGGTTTTTCAAATTTTTGAACGGCTTATTATAAGAATAAACTTGGTCATAATTAACACTGCTTGGATTAGAGGCAATAACAGTTCCAGACAAATTCACATTCCTCTGAGATAATTGCTCCATTATCAATTTCATCTGTTCGGGTTGAGACAAATTTACAAAATTTGGATCCTTTACAATCTCGCTTTGCATGATAGCATCGTATGCTTCCTTCAATTGCTGTTGCGGATCCTTCTTTGCTGGTGATCTTTCAGCAGCATTTACGGGCGGCTTAGGGGGTAATCCAGGCTTAGGGGGCAATCCAGCTGGTAGTTTCCCTTTTATGATATTACTGGCTTTTGGCTTAGGCTCGTATCCATGGTCTTCTCTTTCGAGGGATTCGGGATCGTTTAAAGGAACTTCTGGATCATATTCGTCGTCTTCGTCAGATTTGTCAATTACAGGATCGTTTTGTTGTGACGGTGAGACTTCACTGGCATTTATCTCTTCATATGCATTTTCCGGGTCATATTCATCGTCATCATCATCATTAGAGACATTTACACCTACATTTGCAGCCTCTGACGCCGTATTGGATTCATCGTGGTCTTGGTCGCCTTCAGGATCGTATTCGTCATCGTGGTCATCATCCTCTTCCTGCTGCTTATCACTGCTTTCCGAATCACGAACATCGTATGAATCTACCTTCTCGTGCTCAGTTTCTGGCTTATCTTCCACAAATTCGACTTCAGGGTCATATTCCTCTTCTTCGCCACTGCTCTGTTCTTGTTCCAGCTCTTCATGCTCATTATTGTTTTCTTCGCTATTGTCTTTTACTTCTTGCTCATGCACCGGCTCATTGCTACTTTCACGCAGTTTTGTCCCCAATTCAGGTTCATCACTATTGTGACCTAATTGTATCGGGTTAACCTCCATAATAATTGGGTATATTTGGATTAATTAAAGAGTATTTCCATATATATGGGAAGTGTTTTCAAAAAAGCACAAAATTTCCTCATACAATGTCGCATACAATGTCGTGTAAAATGTCGTAAATATATCGTCGAAGAGACGCGGTCGGAACTACTCTTTCGGCGTAGTTGTTCCACAATCCCCCCCACATTTGCTGCCCCCCCCCACGCATAGTTTATACTGATTTTTCAATAATGATCCTTAAAACAAAGAAAGCTTAGTAATTGGTACGGAGAATTTCCAGGAAAAACCCCGAACTAACTAGTACATAAACGAAAGTGATTATCGGATAATTAGTCGAATTGAATTACGCTAGTTATAAAATTAATACAAAACAAATTGAATAATTATGTCCAGTGAAAATAAAAACTTGAAGCTTGCTATTGTTGGTACCGGTATTTTTGCCACAGATAAGCACTTGCCAACTCTTGACAAACTCCCTAACTTAACACCAGCCGCATGCTACAACAGAACCAAGGCTAAGGCCGAGACATTCGCTAGTAAGGCCAAAATTGATCCATCGCAAGTGTACGAATCGTTGGAAGATATTATCAAAACTGATAGTGTTGATTTTGTGGATGCTTTATTGCCAGTTCAATACAACTTGGATGCCGTGAAATTGGCCGTCAAGTACAATAAGCCAATTTGTATTGAAAAGCCAATTGCTGCTAATTTGGCTCAGGCCAAGGAAATAGTACACTTAGCTAACGGCTCTGATGTACCAATAAGTATCTTGGAAAACTGGTCATACTTGAAGGCCATTGAGATTATAAAGAAGGATGTGCTTCCAAAGATTGGCGATGTCGTGTCATTCACTTACAAATCTACTGGCGCATGGAACGATAACAATAAATATTTGGCCACTTCGTGGAGACAAAGCCCTGAACACATTGGGGGTTTCTTAAGTGATGGTGGTGTTCACCAATTGGCGTTATTGACTGACGTACTTGGAGAAGTTGAAAGTGTTTCTGGATTAACTAAGCAAATCAGAGAAGAAAGTGGTACAGACGATATCTTATTCTCCACTATGAAAATGAAGACAGGTACTATTGGTACTTTCACTTACGGTTCTTCTTTCGGTGCCACCGATAAGTCCACTAGTTTCATTATCTACGGTACTAATGGTTCTGTAGTCTACGACTTTTCACCAGACTTACCTAAACCAACCATCACATACCAAACTGGTCCTTCTTCTCAACAAGCTTCTGAAAAGACTGTCATTGAAGTTGACGAAAATGATACTTTTGTGGAAGAATTTAAGAATTTTGCTGAAGCAGTTACTAAGAACGATAAGTCAGTCGTCCATGTCACTGCTGCCAAGGCTTATCACCATTTGGCTATTGTTGCTGCTGCTTTAGATAGTTCTGCTAAAAACGGAGATTCTGTTAAGGTTGAACAACCATAGGTCTAATATCGGAATATGATTTTCTAATATATATATATATATATATATATATATGTATTTATATATGCATGCTCATAGTTCATCAAAAATTCTACTTGTAGCTGTACTTACTATATCTTCCCAGGTTTTATGTTCTCCATTGGGTTCAATACTCATCGTAAATTCTTCATCTAAATTTATTGTACCTGTACTCGATGATAGTATGCTACTTGCAATTAACGAGCTACTAATAGCCCCTACTGTGGCATATACGTCAACATCACCCTTGTTACTTGAAGTAACGAATATCCTATTGAATATTCTGAATATCTTGAATAATGACCATAAGAAAAATTTAATAGGCATCTTCAACAATCTGCGCCAAATGACCCATGCGCTGCATAGCAAAAGGAACCCAATACTTAAATAGATATTATTCTTGTCCTTTCTATCTTGTTTTTCGATAAACCTAACTATATTTTTCGACTTGTTTAATAAAGATTCGAAATCGGTAAACTTATCGTTCAAATTGGATAAATCTTTCGTTTGTTGCTCAACCGAGTCTATATTCAATTCCGTTTGAACAATCGAAGTCGACATCAATTGTCTAGTAGATTGTAAAGACGATGTGATCGACTTATTATGTGACAATATTTGATCTTGTATAGTTTTGTTCTTGACTTTGGAATCATCCTTCGTACTACGACCTGAGAACAAGTCCTTTCTTAAGTCGGACTCGTTCGAATTATCTTTTATTACAGGAGAATATTTGGCAATCCTTTGATTATGAATCAATTCATTTTCTGAATTGTATGATTGCAATTGACTTTCCCTCAACTTGATTCTTAAATTTGATAACTTTTCTTTATACATTTGATATCTTATAGATAATTGATCATTACTAACCCCAGATATGTTGATTTCTATGACCTTCAACATGTCACGAAATTTGAATATTAATCCGTTGGCATCTTTTGTAGATTTGATTCGTTTTAATTCAATAGATTCTTCACCTTGGTTTGCTGTAGGATCACTATCATCTATTATTTCATTTATCTTTGCAAATACAGCAAACTGCAATTCATCCAATCGCTTGAATGAATTTTCAATGTCGCTTGAAATAGTCATGTTTGTTTGTTAGTTGATATTTATGTAACTAGAATTGATTGATCAAAACGATGATGATAGATTTTTGTAGTTCTATCGCACTGAAAAATATAACTCTTGCAAAAAAACGAGTTTTGATTGTAGATTCGTCAAACCCACATACACTATTAGATGGGCCTCACTATGTCTAATATATCAAATGAACCAACTAATGAAACGGAGAATCCAGGTGCCGAGCAGAAAGAGCCAATAGCTGACCCAAAACCAATTCAAGGCAATAAAAAGAAGAAATCTACTAAGAAATCAAAAGATCCTTCTACACTTACACCCGAGTACATAGAAGAACAGAGAAAACAGAGAAGCTTGAAAAAAGAGAAGAAAAAACTAGAACTTCTTGCCCAAGGAATCGACCCTAATACTGTGAATACACCTATTGAATTGAGGTTTAAAACCAGGGAATTACTTCAGCTTCCAAGTAATGTAGCTAGTGATGATTCGTTTAAGATAAAAATCATGTCATATAATATATTAGCACAAGCCTTAATTAGGAGAAAATTGTTTCCAACAAGTGGGAATGCATTAAAATGGTCAACAAGATCACAAGTTTTGTTATCAGAATTTAAACATTATGACGCAGACATATTATGTTTACAAGAGTTGGATTTTATTCAGTATAATTCATACTGGCGCAAAGAATTAGGAAAACTAGGATACGATATGAAGTATTATAGAGCAGATACTAAAAATCACGGATTAGCAATTGCATTTAAGACGGATAAATTTATTTGCAAGCATCAAAGTTTCATTTATTATGATAAAGAAACGTCGGGGGAGTTGAGACCAAGAACAGCTACTCAGAATATTGGATTTTTGGCATGTTTAGAGTTTACGCCTGATGTCTTATCGAAGTATAGCAATATTTCAAGAAATGGAATAATCATTGGAACAACACATTTATTTTGGCACCCATTTGGTACCTTTGAAAGAACTAGACAAACTTATTTAATTTTAAAAAAATTTAAAGAATTCCGATCTACGATGAGTACGCTTAAAGGTAATGATGATGATTGGTACGGTTTCTTTGCTGGTGATTTTAATTCGCAACCTTTTGATGCACCATACTTATCCATAACTGCTAAACCAGCTCATTATGCGGAAAGAGCTCGTATAGTTCTTGGTTGCTCGTTATCTTATCAGTATTCAAAAAATAGAGGTGTTGTAGACCAAGAAGATGGCAATGGAGATGAGGATAAAGAAGAAGAACAAGAAGAAGAAGGTGGTAATATTGAAAAGTTTGGTAGTAATCAACCGAAAGACCCAGTTCCAGAGTCGTTTAAACCTACACCTGAACAATTGCAGTCAGTAAATTCAATGCAAGATTTACACAATTCATTAGATATGAGAGCTATCTCTTTATATTCCGTTGGCTATAAATTGGTCGATCCAGATAATGCTGGCCTTGATAACGGTCGAGATGAACCAATTTTCTCTAATTGGGCTCATGCCTGGAGAGGTTTATTAGATTATATTTTTGTAATTAGTTCTTGGGATACTACAAGAGAATCGTTTTCCGACAAAGTAGATACAGTCGAGGACGTCGAACATAATAACGGCATTCGGATAACAAAATTGTTGAAATTGCCATTACCAAAGGAAATGGGACCGGAACCTTCAGGACAACCAAGACTAGGTCAATATCCATCTGATCATCTTTGCTTGATGGCCGAAGTTGCATTATGTTAATTATACGAATTATATATAAAGACTTATAAAATAATTATCATCCCCATGATATATACGCATTTGTATAATTTATTTCTTAAGCATAGTATCAACCAAATCTTCTAAAGGTCCATAATCTTTACGAGTAATTAAATTAAACTCATTACTAAATAAAACGTAGTGCTTTAAACTGGTATTAAGGTGACTTTGTAACCCTAGTTCGGAGATTTCATGGAAATGGTGACAATAAATATGGGCATAGATTCTAAACAATCTTTTGAAAATGGTTTTCACCAAGCTTGGAAATTGTTGTGGGAAAGGTGCTCCAATTTTAGAAGGAAATACATTATCATTATCAAAAAAGTTTTGAATCCAATTCATCAAATTCTCTGTGTATTCACAAGCAGGTAATGATACCGGCCTCTTAGGCAGGGCCATCCCATTGGAGCTGGGATTGGTCTCTTGCCACAAGTATTCATATTCGTCGGTTGCTATCATTCTAGGACACGTCTTCGGAGAACAAAACTCTGTTATTGCCCCGTATAACATATTTATTTGATTGTAGAAATCAACTACGTGAATAGCTAGCCACTCATTGATATCTTCGTCCTGTGGTAATTTGACTGCTTGGATCAATGCACTATCGGACCCTAATGTTTGTTCTGCATAATGTCTTATATCTTTATGTGATGAAACTGACTGCCCACCATTATTTAAGTTTATTGTTTGGTATGCTTGCCCTGGCTCTTGCTGATATGACTGGTTATTTTGTGGTGGGTTTGGGAATGTTGAGTTTGAAACCGGTTGAGGGCTTGATATTGGTGATGATTGCTTCAATTTAAATCCCCTAGTCGACCTTAGCGAATGCGTATTAAAGTTTTGGAAGAACGACATGGCATATATACAAATACCTTAGTATATTCAAGTCTTTAAACCAAGTAACTATATTTGACGGCTTGCTTGTGTTCGTTAGATCTATTGTGCTGTTTGTTTACATTTTTCCCATACACATATTCACGTGATCGATTCGATATCAAGATGGCTTTCAATAGACTTTAGGTCAAGGAGTTGTAAGTCGAAAACCATTGCTTTAATGGATAAATTAGGGGTGGGAGGTAAGCCCAGATCAAGGAAACGGCTTCTGTACTTCTTGCAAGCGTCTAGCTTAGATCCAGACGTATCACATTCTTTCATAATATTCAAAGTATTGTATTCTGCTAGTGCTTTCAACTGAATACTTTTCATGGATTGTAAGAATGTTTCGTTCTTATTATGAATTACAGAAGGGAGATTTGCAGGAGATGAACATAACATCTCGTCGAGGTTTCTGACGAGCCAATTATAGTTTGTTTTGAATAGCTTTCTACCGTAAAATGAAAACACAAATGGGAATTTAAACTCCAAGTTAATGAACAACGAACCAAGCAGATAGTTCAATGCTTCGATAATGTCAGCAAGTTGTAGTTTTGGCTGAAAAGTGTTATAATGGAAATCTAAGTCTACCAGACTTAGTAAATTTATGGAATTGGGAAATACAGATTTCATATCGAGTAGATCATTAATAATGGGGCTAGATACATTACATTCAAGATCTAACAGAAATGACGTAGTTTTATCGTCTCTGATGAATAAGCTTGTATTCATATCGATATGCTTCCAGTAACGACACTCGACAAAGCTATGTCCAATTGCTTCTACCAAACTTCCGTAATCCGTGGTATGGAGCTTGGTACCATTTATATATAGATTAAAATTTAACTGAGTGAGTTAGTAGTAATCTTATAGATCGGCGGCTACAGTTGAACTTACACTGAATTTTTTATCAGCTATAATGAATTGTTCTTCTAAGTTAGAATTGTCATTCTGCAATTGGTACGAGTATCTCAAGCTGAAGTAATTTTCATCTTTCTTTACGGTCAACGTATTAACAGTCATATCAATTATGGTGTAGGTTTTGTTATCATAATCTTTTCTACGGTTGTAAAAAAAAACCTCATCACCGCGATTTACTCTCGAAGCTTATAGTTGAATGCTAAAATAAATACTTCAAGAATAAGAATTGGAAATGAATAAGACGAAACAGGTTGTTACGATAGGAAATGACCTAATAGTGAAGTATCAGGTTTCGCCGTTGGCTGATCTTGAGGGGTTAAATGAACTTTCCTCGAAGAAATCTAAATTCTTATCGCTATACAAAAAATTCTATAAGCTACGTATTATGATCGATTCTAAACCATATAATAAAGAAACATACCGGAGCATAATACGACGGAAATTCACTATGGAGGATTTTAACCTTAAACGAAACATCTTATTGGAAGGATCTGAAAAATTATCAGAATTACAGCTATTTGAACGTATGATTAACACATTAGCATTTGTCCATAACTCAACGGTATATTTACCGTCCGAAAGACAAGGAAGACCAGCATTCTTCTTTCAAGACTTGAAAATTCCCCAAAGAATGGAAAAGCTGATAATATTGACCTTGCTCAAGATGGATCAACAGAAACCCAGCACGATTAAATACGATAGAAAATACGAATGGATACCTCAGATAAACAACAAATTGGCCCAGTTGTCTGAGGATCCCGATGCGAAGGAGTATAAATCCATTTTCAAGGATGTTGATGCTAATCTTATAGGATTTCGGGATTATGAGTTGAACTTGATGAGGCTAAACGAATGTTATAGACTATGCTTATAGAGAATATATTTTATTCACTCGTACGTACATATTTATTGTAAACAGATATTGATATATGATTTTTTAGAGCCGGATATACGATGCATAGTGTTCAATTCGGTTAAAGGTTGAATTGAATGGCGTAAAAAGCGTTTAATATTTACTGCGCAATTCATAGCAATATCAAAATTGAAATATTTAGAACTTTCGTTTTAACTTATTCAATAACAAATATAAATATGGGTTGGTTTTCAAGAGATACATCGAGTACTATTCCAAATAATCAAGTGGAACAACGTTCTCATCAGCCATTAGATTTATCTGGTCAACCAGCATTCAATTCAACAACGGCCAATTCAAATGGAACTTCAACTTCATCGGATATTTCTCATACCTTAGACCAATTAACTGAAAATCAAACACCTCTCAAGTTAAAAGAATTAAAGGAAAATACCGTAAAGGCAAATAATGAATCAGTATCAGAATTTGTTCATGAAAGACCTAAGAATCTTTTTGTTATTGATGGCGAAAAGGAAATTGAGGAGAGTATTATTTGTACCAATAATGAGCAAGGGGGAAAAACATGCTTGAAATTGAAGTACAACTCAGTGCAATTGTTCAAGCAAATGCAGAAATTAGAATACTTCTGTTCATTGCCTGATGACATAAATGCTACGTACTTCGAATGCAGAAAAATTACATAGTTAAATATCTAATTATTCAATATAATCTTATCATTTATTAGGTACGGATTGTACAAAGAGAGAATCAGATAAGGAAGGCATAAGATCTATAAGAGGGATATAAAAAAAGTTCTAGAAAGAGTGCTTAAAGTATAGAGGTGAGATTGAGAGATGAATGCTGAAAGTAAGCGAAGATATGATAAGGGGAAGGAAACGATTAAATGAGTAATCCTGTAACGACACCTAAACCAATCATTAAACTAATACTCAAGCCAAAAGTCGAAGATCCACTTTCGGTTTCAGAATTGTACTCATTTAATGAAACGTTCGAATGGTTTCCATTGTGGATCATATCCGTACCGTTGTGGGGGTGAGTTGCATTGTGAGTAGTATTTCTCGATTTTAAATCGTTTATAAGTTTAGTCTTTGATTTAGTGTCTTCTGTATTGTCCTCGTCATCGTCGGCATAGTCATTGTCAGGCTTAGAGCCTTCGACTTCTGGTTCGTCATCTGCATCTGGACCTTCATCAAATACTTCGTACTTGTCAACCTCATCCTCATCATAAGAATATTCTTTGTAATCTTGGTTAAATTCAAGACCAGATGCTAAGTCCTTTTGTAATTCTTGAAGATCATAGTTGCTGTTAGAATTATATTCATCTTGCAAGCTTTGTAATCTTATGTTTGATGCTAATTCGATGTCAGCACAAGCAAACTTGGTTAAGTTGGCAAAGTGGAAAGTGACGGATCTACCGACAATATAGGAATTGGATTTCTTGTTTAACGAAAGATATGGGTCGTTGTATTTTGTTTCGAAGCATGTGGTGTCAATCCAACCATGCTTCCCCGACAAGTCACCCACCTGACAGTATGAATCATCCTTTTGATCTTCACAATCTGGTGGAGCATCATAAGGATTAAAGTGCAAGCCCACCATGTCACAATTACCGTCAGAAGGAACCAGGTTTTCATGGATATGATATTGGAATGGCCCTCCTTCTTTTGGTAATCCAGTCACATCGACGTGGACATTAACTGCCTTACCTCTTTTGGCTGTGAACACAATGTTACCCTGAACATTATTGTCAAATCCAAATGGGAAGTCCGCAATGGCTACCACATTCTTTGGATTTTTTTTAATTTTGGGGGCTTTGTCTCCTAATGCCAATTGAGATACAGAAAGAAGCGATAATATCAATGGTATATTAATTTGCATTTTTAGGCTTGAATGTAATCTTTATTGATTGAATATAAAGAAAGAAAAGAAAGAGAGAAGTAAATGAATTTAAGAAGATAATGGGCTTACTTATTGTGTTTTATAGTCGGCGGTAGAACACAGATACACTAAATCCACAAATTTGCAGCTTTAAATGTATTTCTGAGTGTCGCAAACAAAGGAAAAAAAGATCTCACAAAAAAGTAAAGACGGATGTCGGGACCGAAAAGCCCATTCCTACGTAGTCTACAAAGAAGTAATTAATTGCTAATGTATCATAAATGTGTATTAAGAAGACTTGATAATCGTCTCATTTAATATAGGAATATAATGTTTATAATGTAATATAAATTTAATGCAGAATTTTATCGTGTGTACGAATATGGGTGTAAGTGTCTTGCCATATTAAGTTTAATGGGTCAAGCATGCATAGTAGTTTAGACCATAAATGATTCACCACACCCACAGGTACCTTTAGAGTTTGGATTTCTGAAGATAAACCTCGACGACAATTTGTCGTCCAACCAATCCATTTCAGACCCCACAATTGAAAAAAGGGCCTTCGAGTCTATGTATACCTTGACACCATCTTGCTCCACCTTTTCGTCAAACTTACCCGGTTCTGATACGTATTCCAAGTTATATGTCAATCCTGAACAGCCTCTGTTCTGCACCCCGATCCTGATCAATTGTGGCTCCGGTTGGTCCAACAAGTTCTTCAAATGCTCCACTGCATTGGTACTCAACGTAATCAATGCTTTTCTAGGACGTAATGTTCTCTTTTGTTTCGTTTTCTTCGCCGGCTTTTCATTTTCCGTTATCTTTGGTGTCGTAGGTTCGACAGTTGCTGTGGATATTATATTAGGTTGTGTAGGCTCCTGGGCTTCTGCGTTCTTCATCTCCTCTTTAGTACTCTTCGTTTCTGCTGTTTCGGGCTGGTTGATGTTCTTCAATGTCTTGTTGGAAAATTTAGAGGCCCGGGATCTCCTGGCGGGTGCTGATGTACTTTGGTCCTTAGTAGACACTTTTTCCATTGGCCCCAAAGAATGTTTAGACCATTTAGAGCTCAAATCACTAGGTTCTTTAGTTGATTCTCCAAAATTTGTCTTCTTTATAGGATATTTCAATCCCGAATAGAAATCATTCTTGCTTGTTGTAACAGGTATAGTTTGCATAAACCTCTTTCCACCTTTCTTTGCTTCATTTGAAGCATACCTCTTACATGTGTGATTTATGTTTGTCAATATAATTCTTCTCCCTATCATGTTTGACTAATTGTATATGAAAATATTGATTATTGAGTATAAATTGTAAGAAGAAGATCTTATTGTATATGATTTATAATAAGTTTTTATGTGAAAGCTAATGACCCGCCAAATGCTGGTATTCGCACGCATTCTCTAATTTTCGAGTAAGCAAAACTTGAAAGACTCTGATTGGCTGGAAATGCGAATAGCCCAATACCGATAATCGGCTACGATGTGTGAGTACTTACATTGCTACATTTTGCAATCGTTAATGGGTAGAATGTACATTAACGTATATTAGCGATTGGAGAGGGAATTTGTTGTATGTGCAACTATAAAGGGGTGGTTTCCTTCTTCAACCAATTGTATTCAAGAGAATTTTTAGAGAAAGAAGGTGACAATTCGCTCCACACGGTCTGGTGATACTTATTTATCCACACCTTTTCTTCTGTAGTTAACAAGGAAATGTCAATAAGCTTCTTGCAAAATGGGACCCTGGTGAGGGTGTCAAACTCCAAGAAGTCTCTTTCGTTGTAGGAACGACCAGATTGCTTGACGTACATGACGTTTTCGATTCTGATACCGTAGTCACCATCTTCGTAGTAGCCCGGCTCGTTGGAAATCAAGTGGCCTGGTTTCAAGGTTGACAAGGCAGCATTGGGTCTTGGGCCGATGCCAATAGGACCCTCGTGGACGTTGAGGTATGCTCCGATACCGTGCGAGGTACCGTGGCCGTAATCCAATCCCGCAGACCACAAATGCTGTCTTGCAATTGAGTCAATCAAGGCGCCCGTGGTGTCCTCGGGAAATTTCAAGTTGCCCAAAGAAATATTGCCCTTCAAGACTAAGGTGTAGTGTTTGATTTCGTCTGGCTTTGGGTCGGTGAAGTGGATGGTTCTGGTTACGTCGGTGGTCCCCTCCAAAAATTGAGAACCCGAATCGTTTAGATATATCTTGTGGGGGTTGATGACAGCACATTCACCTTTGAGGGGTTTGTAATGGATCACCGCTGCATTGGCCCCCGTGGCACTGATCGTGGCGAATGATAAGCCCACAAAGTTATCCTCTTGCATTCTGAATTGGGTCAACTTGTCGTCGGCTTG